AATGTCTTTTCTGCAGGCGATAGTCCAAACACTGATGGCATCCATTGCAACAATCATCAGATGTGACCATCCTCAACTCGAACATTAGAAATGGTGACGACTGGTCTCCATCGGTCTAGGGACATTTAACATGTGGATGGAAAGTATTACATGTGGACCTAGACATGGAATCAGGTAACTAGAGATAGATTAGGATGAGCATGTTTAAAAATGTTTTTTAAAGAGTTTAAATAAATTTGTCACATTAATTTTTAGAAGATAATCGAAACGTTAAATTAAATTTGAATGATTAAAATATATTCTAAAGTTATTTTGAACGTGAGAAAAATGATTGAAATTATTTTAAAATTATTTTGGATAAAAATAGTTATATAATATATTAAGTTAGAGTGAGGAAATTAAAACTCATGAAACATTTGATATTTTGTTGAATGTGTTTGTAGCATTGGGAGCTTAAGGATGGAGGCTTAGGAGGATGGAGTGCATAACATTACATTGAAATCATCTACATTCACGGGGACTCAAAATGGAGTAAGGAAAGACCAAGCAATGGATTCGCTACAAAAGTTCATTTTCAACACATTGTTATTGATAATGTGAAAAACTCAATCATAATTGATCAAAATTATTGTCCACGTTTCAAAGATTGTCCGGGTCAAGAGTATTTTCCTCATTAATCTCATACATGTTAAATTTTTTATAATTAAGCTTAAATTGAATGAACACAACATAAGTTTTTTTATTTTATAAATAATTAATTTATTTTATCTTTGTTTGAAATTTGTTTGGGTTTAAGATGGATACTAAATTATTAGTATTATTTTTTTTTTTTTTTTTTGTACATTAAATTACTTTTATAGGTAATTAATTAGGGATGCTATTATTCTACGATGTCTTAAAATGGTATGAAGCTTTTATGATTTTATTTTTTAATTTATCCAAAATATCTAATATCATTAGAGATAATTGTTCTAACTTATATATACTATCTAGAAAATTTAAGACTATGGTCGATTTATATCTTATTATTGAATTACTAGTTTATATTTGGTTTTATAATATAACTTAGGATTCTGAAGTTAAAGTTAATGAAGTAACATACGAAGACATCAAGGGAACTTCGGCCACTGAAATAGCGATCAGTTTTGATTGTAGCCCAACAAATCATTGCACTGGATTAAGCTTGATAGACATAAAGCTAACTTACTAGAATCACATCGCTAAAGCTTTATGTAAAAATGTTGAAGGAATTACATGTGGTGTGGTTGAACCTTCTAGTTGCTTAGCATCGGCAAACCTTATCCATATACTATAAACCCTTTAGGTTATTCTTAAACATGATCCTCTTGTATGTGAATCACATATGGGATAATATTAAATTTTAAATAAAATAATCAAAGTTATTATTAAAATTAAACAATTAATTACGAGGCTTTAGGGCATAATCTTAACACTCTCGACCACTTAAATATTCTGACATTTTCTCCACTGTTTATGTTACCCTAGTTTATCTGAGTGACCTAGATCATAGATGGTAGCATCATGGTATCTACTTATTCCAACGCTTGTTCTTAGCATGTCTTTCCTTATAAGGAATTTGAGCAGGGTAGGTCTCAGTCAAGGCTCTACCTGCTCTATCTTCTCGTATAGTACCACTTCAGGTTTTAAGGTCCATAATCTATCATCATGCCATATACTCCAAGTTATTAGGTATTGTAACCAATTGTATCCTAATTAGTTCAAAAGACAGTAACTAACATATGCATACAATTCACATAAGGAGTGAGATCATGCCTACTAACCTTACAACTTACATACCTTGTCAAGACGAGGTGAGTTTAAGTCAAGTTGTAGGTTGTCACGGTCATGCTTGTCCAAGGCGTGTTGCCTACGGTTGCGTGTAAGATGTCCCAATTATGCTTGTTCATGACATGTTGTCCATAGCCGCATGCCCGTTCCAAACCCCTTTACTTACTTTCAAGTTAGATAGGCATTCACTATTATTGTTGTGTTAGTACGGGGGTGTATAACCTATCAATAAAATCGTGTCTACACCCGTTAGAGCTAAAATACCTCAAAATGTACTATAAGGTATGTGACTAGTCATCAATTCTTCTTATTCATATTATATGCTATCAAAGTTGTGGTTGTTGCTTATTTTCTTTTAGAGTGTACTATTGCTTTCTTAAAAAAAAAAAAAAAGCTAAAATACCTCAAAATGTACTCTAAGGTATGTGACTAGTCATCAATTCTTCTTATTCAGGTTATATGCTATCAAAGTTGTGGTTGTTGCTTATTTTCTTTTAGCGTGTACTATTGCTTTCTTAAAAAAAAAAAAAAAAAGCTAAAATACCTCAAAATGTACTATAAGGTATGTGACTAGTCATCAATTCTTCTTATTCAGGTTATATGCTATCAAAGTTGTGGTTGTTGCTTATTTTCTTTTAGCGTTTGAAACATGGCCAAGACTCGATCAAGCATACTGTTAAACCTTTCTATTTGTCCATCATTTTTGGGGTGATTACTCGAAGAGATGGCTCGACCCCAATAGCTTGAACAATTCAGTCCAAAAGGACCCTGTGAATCTCGGATCCCGATCGCTAACAATGCTAGTGGGAATGCCCCACAACTTGACTACGTGTCGAAAAACTAATTGTATGGTCGTTTCGGCCGAGCATGACTTGCGGGTCGGGATAAATATGGCATATTTGGAGAATTTGTCAATGATGACCAAGATAGACTCCATTTCTCCTACCTTGGGGAGGTGTGTGATGAAGTCTAGAGAAACACTTTCCCATGGTCGGGACGAGACTGGTAGAGGTTCTAGTAGTCCCGCAATTATGTTTCGTTCAACCTCATCTTGTTGGCAGATAAGACAGGTCTTTGTGAACTGTATCGCATCGTCGTAGAGGTTCGGCCAATAGTACCCCTTTTTAGGAGAGCATAGGTTCTCTACCACCCGTTGTGACCCGCCCATGGTGTGTTGTGGCATTCATTTAGTAGGAGTCTCCTCAAGTTCCCGAAACAGGGGCGAAGAGATGATTTCCTTTGGTGAAGAGTAAATTGTTTTCGACCCAAAACTGGCGAGTCTTCCCCTCTCTTGCTAACTGCATGATGGCCTGAGCGACCAGGCTAGGTGTTCCTTGATACTTTCCTATATCGTTCCACTCAACTTACTTGCTTGTAGATGAGCTAACATGCACAGGGCCGCATACTCGTTCTTTCAACTTAGAGCATCTGCAGCTTGGTTTGCTTTACATGGCCTGTGTTTGAACTGGAAGTCAAATTCGGCAATGCATTCTTGCCAACGCGCTTGCTTCGACGATAACTTGGATTTTTTACAGAAGTGAGATATGGAGCTGTTGTCTGTCTTCACTACAATTTTGGCTCCGAAGAAGTACTATCTCCAAGATCGTAAACAGTGGACCACTGCCAACATTTCTTTCTCGAATGCTGCATACCTTCTTTCTGCATCGTTTAGCTTCTGGCTCTCATATGCAATGGGGTGTCCTTCCTGCAGTAGGACGCCCCTATGGCGAAGTCTGAAGCACCATCTCGACTTCGAAAGGTTTCGTCACATCGACAATCCCTAAAAGTGGCCCTTCCATCATGGCATTCTTAAGGTTGCCAAAGGCTTCTTGACACTGTGAAGTCTAGCTCCACTTGTTTTCCTTCTTTTGTAGTTCAGTCAAGGACTTTGCGCGCTTTGAGAATCCTTCCACGAATCACCGATAGTAATTTGCCAACCCAAGGAAATAGCGCACTTCTATCACTGAGGAGGGGTCTTCCACTCCTTGATGGCTTTGACTTTCTCCTCTTCCATACCTACCTTGCCTGCTTCTATTACGTGTCCAAGGAAGTTGATTCGCTGTTGTGCAAACACGCATTTTTTCCCTCTTCACATATAGTTGGTGTTATTTGTCAGGATAATTAAGACCTTTTCAAGACATGACTTCTTCACGAAACTTCTTCCTTATACTTACCTCATGCTTAAGTAATCTCGAAAGAACAAATTTGTGTGATCGTGGCGATGTTGAGTTAAAGGCTTGATTGGAAGTTAACCAAAATGCAGAAACTCATTAGCAGCCCCCTCTAGTCCGTCTCCCTCTAGTCCTTACTAGGTCTTTAATGAAATGCTTAATTTTTGTTTAGAGGATCCCAGGTAGGAAATTTGAACTTAACCTCAAATCTTACCCGAATATATTTTTCTTCAATTGGACATGATTCTTGATGAAAATGCTTGTTGATGGTATGAATGTGATGGGTTAGACATGATGAATTCATGTGTAATGTGAGAATGCGATTCTAAGCTTTTAAACATATATAATGACAGATGAAATTGGACATATAAGTTAGGAGTATTTTCAAATTCTTGATTTCTTTCGAGGATTTGTGGACAATACTTTTTAGAAGGGGTAGAAAAAAGTTTGAAGGGAAATGGTGAATTACAACTCTCAAATTTAGAAGAAATTTAATGAAGAGATACCCAAAATCTAAATGTTGATTTCTCACGGTTGAAGGCTTGACACTACTTGATTATTGCTCCAAATGACAAGTTTCGAAAACATCCAACTAATATAGTTTTAACGGAAACAAAACTTCATTACTTAAATTTCAAAAGAATTGATATCTAAATAGTTTTAATTGTTTAGTATAAAACAAATATAGAAAAAAATATAGCGAAGAGTAAACAAAAACTTCAAAACTTGATCATTATGCACCCTTCCCTCACAAACACAAATTTTCATGTACCCGTGTCAATCTTAAACGCTTTTTTATAACAAACAAAGAATAGAGATAATATGAAAAACGTAGTAATTGAACTTTTAGCATAAGATTATGGTCCATTAAATAACTATAGGTAGGATAACAAACACAAATGTAACATAATATTTATTTAAAAAGATTGGCAACTACAGAGTTAACATTTAACAAGGTAAAGATTGAACGAGGAAAATTTAAAAGAAACATACCTATATTATTTGGATAGATTTCACTTCTTAAGATATACCAGAAAATATAGTTTGAAGCAGGGCAAAAATAAGGAGGAAGATTGCACCAACGAAGGAGACAATAGCCCAAGGAGTATTGAAATAGTTATGTTTGAGTGTAGCTATCGCCTTGTTCCATCGTCTACTGCAGTGTTCTCGTAAAGCTTTGTTGATATCGTTGAAGTGACAACAATTTGGGACTGTAACAAATTTACAGAGATTATTAAACAGTTTTGAAACTTCTATACTACTACCTCCAATTTCGTTTATTATGATTCTGGCTTTCACAAGTACACTCACATCTTTCTCTGTACATATCAAATGATCTAGTAATGACACATATTGGATACACTTGTTATCATTTCCAACATAAACATGCTCAAACGCTATCAAGTTTTGCATCATGGGTTCAAAGTAATCATCATTAAGTATGGGTGGGATTTCAAAAACCCCATTTTATAAGCTCACATTCATCAAACATTTGGCATTTTCTGTTTTCTTGATGGTGACACCAGCTTTGTGGAGCTCAGTTATCGATGGAGGAATAATTGATTTTTCTTCTTTACTATTGTTCTTAGAAGATATCGTGGGGACGAAAAAGAAGCTTAAGAAATCGATGAAATGCTTTGGGAATTTCTTCAACAAGGGATCGAGAAGATAGTAATTATTTACAATCCCATGATAAAAAATATTTTTGTAAGAGTTATAAAGGAGATGGAGGGATCCTTTTGTTTTACAAGGTATAGACGTTGAAGAACAAAGAAAGGACTTTGATTTTCCAACTTGACCAAATCAGCACCTATATGAGGAAATCTTTTGTAGAATTGAAGATCTACTTTGTGTTCAATTCGAATGAATGCATCTCGGCTGTATTGGCCATAATTTAATATAAGCAACTCCACTGTAAAACAACCATCCACCAGCAACATCTTAATAAAATCCTCGTCGTTCATGTTTATAGGTTCTGCATAGTAATCTCGAGCGTCTTTTACCCAAGTTTGAGTAGTTTCCACAAGAAATTCCACTGAGCTCATGTTCATCATTCGAAATAGAAAGTTAGCAAGTCCTTGAAGCTTATATTGCTCTTTGACTATCAAATCATCTCGACTATGATGGTGAAATGGGCCAATGGAAATGACTTGGGGGGTAAAGGCTGTATTATTCATCTCACGTAACAGTTTGGGGACTCGATAGATACTACATCCTACATTAACAACAGGTAGTTGCTCTAGCATTGTTTTGATCCATGATACAACATTACCACAAAGCTGTCCGTTCCTACTACCTTCTGCCATATTGTAAGCTATGTCGTGTTCTCGATGCACTCCAATCTAACTCTTCTTCCCTTGAACTAAAACACCTACGTTTCCAAATCTTCTCTAATAGGAATGTCGAGCTTTTAAAACCAAACTTAAACTAACTAATTTATATATATTTTACATACAAGGCAGAAGAAAAGAGAGAATTAAGGAAGTACCTTGTTTGAAAAATTGATGGAAAGGATGGTGCACGTAAATGAAGATGAGGGAAGAAAGAAACAACTACAAGAAGAAAATGGAGTAAGAGAGAGCAATGGATGTGGAAGAAAGAAAGAGGCAAAATCATATCATGTGGGAGACTAAACATATTGAACCTGATAGGGAAAATCAACCCAAGGGAAAGTATGGAATGGATTACCTTGATGATCAAGATCAAGAGTAAAGAAAACTCGTTTCTAAACTCGTAATTCAAATCACTCCACAAGAGGTTTGATCAATATCACTTGAATGACTCTATATGCAAGTTCTAAACACTAGAATTTGCAAAGAAAGTTTAACTCTCAACAAAGCTAAAATAGAAATTTTATTCTTAATTCCAAAATATGATGTCTAATCAAAGAAAAGAAACTTTATATAGCCCTTACAATCTTAACCTATGTGATATATAACTCCCAAATTAAATCGACTAGTAAATGAAAAATACCGGTAACTTTCCTATTAAAATGGCTAGTGAATGGTGGAATATAGTAACCTATGTGTGTTACAATATAACCTTAACTCCTATATTTTAAACTAGCTTAAATATGACAAACAAATATTTAAACTATAATTAAATAATGCAATTAATAAAATGTGTTTATTGACTCATCCTTGGACTAGTTTCATAAATTCAGCGGAGTTCAATAAATGCAACTTAAAGTGCATTTAATTCATCTCTTTCTTAAAGCTCAACTTTGCACAACATATAAGGGAGGTCTCCAGCGTCTTCTAGAATTTCCTTTGATGAGCTCATCATAGCTTGAATATAACTGTATAAGGTTTGTTGTAGCTTCTTAGCTCTCGTCCTTGTAATTGGACCTTGAGGTATGGAAATTTCTTGGTCGTGGTTCATATCATTCTCCCCCTCTTGAAAAAGATTCGTCCTCGAATCAAAGTCATCACCTACATCAAAAGGACTCAAATCAACAACATTAAAAGTTGTACTAACACCGTACTTACCTGGTAAATCAATTTTATAAGCATTGTCGTTGATACGCTCAAGAACTTGAAAAGGTCCATCTCCTCGTGGTAAAAGCTTAGATTTTCTTTGAGTAGAAAATCTTTCTTTTCGGAAATGCACCCAAACCCAATCTACTGGCTTGAAGATGACAAACTTACGTCCTTCATTAATTCAGGTGGCAACCTTGGAATTTTGTTTCTCAATTTGTTCTTTCACTTGCTTGTGCAGTTTATGAACAAACTCAACCTTGGCATTTGCATCAAAATTCACAAACTCTTTTGACGGTATGGGTAACAAGTCGAGGGGTTAAAGGATTAAAGCCATAAACAATTTCAAAAGGTGTGCTATGAACAACCCTATTATATGCAAATTCTATAAAGGGCAAACAATCCTCCCAAGTCTTAAGATTTTTATCAATAATAGCCCTAAGCATAGCAGTCATGGTTCTGTTAACAACTTCAATTTGTCCATCTGTTTGAGGATGACAAGTAGTTGAATATACTAGCTTACTTCCTAACTTACCCCATAAAACACGCCAAAAGTGGCTTAAAAATTTTACATCACGATCACTAACAATGTTTTTAGGAATGCCATGCAATCGTACAACTTCCCTAAAGTACAGGTCTGCAATATGTTTTGCATCATCAGTTTTGTGACAAGGAATAAAATGAGTCATTTTACTAAATTGATCAACCACAACAAAGATGCTATCATAACCTTTCCTAGTCCTAGGTAAACCTAAAACAAAATCTATTGATATATCAATCCAAGGACCATTAGGAACCGGTAATGGGGAGTATAAACCATGTGGTTGAAGCCTAGACTTAGCTTGTTTATATGCTATGCAACGAGCACAAAGTTTATGAACATCATGTCTCATTTTAGGCCAAAAAAAAAAATGTTCAGAGAGCATATCATAAGTTTTAGAAACTCCATGGTGTGCCATTAAACCACCTCCATGAGCTTCCCTCACAAGTAGCTCACGGATGGAATGAAAAGTTTGCCTTTTCGGAACAAAAATCCATCTAACAACAAGTAATTATCCACAATGAGTCCTTTTTCACAAGATTCAACAAAAGGAGCAAAGAACATGTCATGTTGATACAAATCTTTTATGTGTTCAAAACCCAACAACCTAGCATTCAAAGTATTGAGGAGGGCATACCTTCGTGATAATGCATCTGCAACAATGTTCTCCTTACCTTGTTTATATTTTATGACATAAGGGAATGTTTCAATAAATTCTAACCACTTAACATGTCGTCTGTTGAGTTTATTTTGTACTCTCAAATGCTTTAAACTTTCATGATTCGTATGAATAATGAACTCCTTAGGCCAAAGATAATGTTGCCAGGTTTGCAATGCACGAACCAAAGCATAAAGCTCTTTGTCATAAGTTGGATACCTCAAAGATGCACCAGTCAACTTCTCACTAAAGAACATCAAAGGTCTTTGATTTTGCATTAATACAGCACCATCCCTACTCCACTAGCATCACATTCAATTTCAAAAGTAGATTCAAAATTGGGTAATGCAAGCAAGGGAGCAGAACTCAATTTTTCTTTCAAAGTATTAAAAGCAAGTTCTTGATCTTTTTCCCATATAAAGGATACATTTTTCTTAACAAGTTCATTCAAGGGTGAAGCAATTGTACTAAAATTCTTAATGAACCTACGGTAGAAACTTGCAAGACCATGAAAACTTCTTACCTCACTTACATTTTTAAGTGTAGGCCAATCTTTTATAGCCTTCACTTTCTCCTCGTCAACCTCAACACCATTAGATGAAACTACAAACCCAAGAAAGTTAACTTTTTTCATGGAAAAGCTGCATTTCTTTAAATTTACGTACAAACATTTGTTTCTTAAAGTAGTCAAAACATTGCGTACATGGGTAATATGATCATCTAAAGATTTAGAGTAAACAAGGATGTCATCAAAATAAACAACCACAAACTTACCTAAGTATTCTCGTAAGACATGGTTCATTAGTCTCATGAATGTACTAGGTGCATTAGTTAATCCAAAAGGCATAACCAACCATTCATAAAGACCATACTTGGTTTTAAAAGTTGTTTTCCACTCATCCCCAATATGCATGTGAATTTGATGATAACCCGATTTTAAATCAATCTTAGTAAAAAGACTACATCCATGCAACTCATCAAGCATATCATCTAATCTGGGAATTGGATGCCTATGATTTATAGTTATCTTGTTTATAGTCCTACAATCAACACAGATACGCCAAGAATCATCTTTCTTAGATACAAGAATAACTGGAACAGAACAAGGACTCAAACTTTCACGTATATACCCTTTAGCAAGGAGTTCACTTACTTGCCTTTGTATCTCTTCAGCCTCCTTTGGATTAGTCCTATAAGCTGGTCGGTTTGGAATGTGCGTGCAAGGAATGAAGTCAATCTTGTGTTCAATCCCTCTAAGTGGTGGAAAACTACTAGGCTTCTCCTCGGAAAATAAATCTTCAAACTCTTGCAAAAGCACAACAAAATCACTACGCAAAGAAGGGTTAAGCATGTTAGTAAAGTAACAAGATCCCTTGCACATAAGTACAAGAATAGTTTGGTTAGAGAGCAAAACATTCATAGCCTCACTTAATCTAACATACAAGCTTACTGATTTGGCTATTCTCTCTTTTTTTTCTTTAGGCTGAGTGTTACTCTCTTGCTTTTCCCTCAAGCTCTTTTTTTCACTTGATTCTTTTTCAATCTCTGCTTTTGCATCAGCCTCTTGCCTTTTCTTTTTAAGTTTGCAATGATCAATATATACATCTTTTGGAGACAATGAAATAAGAGTAGTTTTTCTACCGTTGTGAGTAAAAGAGTATCGATTTGCATACCCATTATACATTACCCGACGATCAAATTGCCAAGGCCTCCCTAGTAGTAAATCTCCAACATGCATGGATACAACATCACATAAAACATCATCAACATATTTTCCAATAGTAAAAGAAACAAGAGTTTGTTGAGTTACCCGTACTTCCCCACAATCATTCAACCATTGAAGCTTGTAGGGTCTTGGATGTGGTTGTGTCTTTAAATTAAGTCTTTTGACCAGAATGGAACTCACAACATTGGTGCAACTACCGCTATCAATTACAACACTACAAGGTACAGATTGATCAAGACACCGAGTTTGAAACAAGTTCTCCCTTTGGTCTAGGCCGTCCTCCTTAATGTGGGTGTTTAGTGCTCGTCGAGTAACCAAAGATATATGTGTAGGGTCCTCTTCACTAAACTCCTCACTCTCATCAGTTTCCTCATTTATGTCGTCATGTGCCTCGTCATCTGTAACAATTTCTCCCTCCTTGATGGTCATAATTCTTTCATTTGGGCAATCTCTACTATAGTGTCCTACCCCTTGACATCTCCAACACTTTAAATCTCTATTTCGAACATTAGACTTTTCTACTTTTTCTTTCCCTGTTCTAGAACTCTCCCCTTTCTCAAATTTAGCTTGAGGCTTCTCATTAATTTCTTGATTTCTATGCTTATAATCAATGTTCTTACTATCCCTTTTCCATGTAGAAGTAGAATTGAGAAAAGTTTTAGAAGAATACCGTTGAGACCTTCGTTGGATTTGCCTCTCGATCTTAATTGCAATGTGCAACAACTCCTCAATATTAGAATAAGGCTGTAAATCAGTCTTGTCTGCAATCTCTGTGTTTAACCCATTAAGAAACCGCGCCATGAGAGCCTCCATGTCCTCATCGAGTTCAAGTCGATCCATCAATGTATCCATCTCCTTGTAATAATCCTCCACAGATTTGCGTCCTTGTTTCAATGCTTGAAGCTTTTGCACCATGTCTCGGTGAAAATATTATGGAACAAAACGCTTCCTCATGAACTTTTTGAACTCGACCCATGAATCAATTGGTGCTTCAAGATTTCTTCTCCTACTTGACATCAATTTATCCCACAAAATTTGAGCATATTGTTCGAATTGAGCAATGCATAACAGTACCTTCTTTTCATCACTAAAATTATGACAGTTGAACACCGACTCCACCGTTTTCTCCCATTGAAGGTACTCCTCTGGATCGGTTTTGCCATAAAACTTTGG